GGTGGACTCAGCATATGCTCCAGAATAACCAGCCATACCTTAGCAAGTGTTTACAAACTGTTTGGAGTTAGGAATAAGTTGCTTGATTATGAATATCCTGCTTCCTATTCCCCCAAATTTCTGCAGAGCTCTACATATTTTACACAGAAAAAGTGAAAATATTTATTTTATTTTGGGATGCCTTGGTTATTTCATGAGAAACCTCCTAGAGAAATGCAGGCTTGTCATCGCTTCCCTGTGGGCATCCACAGTGACTCAGGTGACAGGGACCGCAGTCATGCAGATCTGACGAGAATGAGTGTCCATTCCCTTACTGAATGACCCACCTCATCCTGAGGTAGAAACCAGTGAACTGAAGCATGAGGGCAACTGAATATCTAACCTTCTACCCATAGTCACCAACTGCTGATCCTGAAGAGATGGTGTCTCAAAAACCCTATGATGAAAACCAGCAGGAATCCACACGGGAAGAGCCTGAGACGCGCCTCCTGAGCATGACAACCCGGCGAGGCCCACGAAGTAAGTGTCCATCAGTTCAGTTCAATCAATATTTATTAATTGACTACTATGAGCTCATCACAGAAGAATATGAGTTTTTTTTAATGGGAATTTTGTTTTTCAAAAGCCACTTTATCTCTATTTTGTGGGTAATTTTCTAGGGTAATGTCTGTCTAGAAGACAGGACGTATGTCCTTGGGACAAGCTTATATAACCACATAAGTTGTGATTGTTGTTAACTGCTGTCAAGTTGGCTCCAACTTATGGCAATCCCATGTACAACAGAGCAAAACATTGCCCGGTCCTGCACCATCTTCACGATCGTTGGAATTTTCCAGTCCATTGCTGCAGCCACTGTGTATTTTGAGTGCCTTCCAACCTAAAGTGCTCATCTTCCAGCACTATATCCAACAGTATTGTGTTTTGATCCACAGGGTTTTCACTGGCTCATTTTCAGAAGTACAGGTAGTTCCCAGCTTACAACGGGGCTCTGCTCTGATGACTCCATTGTAAGTCAGTTCTGACGTAAGTCGAATACCCTTTTTCTAAGTTTTCATAGTCTGCTATACAGCAGTGTTTTGAACAGTAAATCATAACATTGAACAACCGTGAGTGAACATCTGAGAATGATAACATCGGCAAATTATGCACTGCGACATTGTATGTAGTACATATTACTAACAGTAAGATGTATAGAAAAAAAAGACAGGTGGTAGTAAGTGCGATTTGTCATCACTCGAATACGTCATAAGTCAGGGACTACTTGTAGTTTACTAGGCCTTTCTTCCTAGTCTGTCTTAGTCTGGAAGCTCCACTGAAACCTGTCTGCCATGGGTGCCCCTGCTGGTATTTGAAATACCAGTTGCATAGCTTCTAGCACCACATCAACAAGCAAGCTACCGCAGTACCACAAACTGTCAGCCGGGTGGTGGAACCACATCAGTTAGGAAGTGATTGAATACATAGGATGCAGATAATAAGATGTAGAAATTCAAAGGAGGATGAAATAGGCAGAGAAGACATAAATGAAGCGGGACTTGAATCTGATGTTGAAAGAAACGAGGGTGGTTTCTGAGGCTCTCGGAGACTTTACTCCTTGAGGACGAGCGGTGCCCCAACACTCTTCCCTCATACATTCTCTTCCCCCTTCCAAGAACCTTGGTCTATTTTTTTACAGCATTTGCTCTTCCCCAGTACAATGAAAATCATCACTTATCTGCTTATTGTAGGAAAATGATTATCCCTCATTTGTTGATTTTCATGAAAAGTAGATTAGAGGAGAGGAGAAAAACGTTAGACTCTTCATGTGTTACTCAATTGCTACACAGTTTCACTGTGGCTGAGTTGAGGAATAAAGTAACTGTTGGGAGTTGGAGGGTTTTGGAAAGAGAGCTGATTCAAAGTCCTGCATCCACATACAAAACCTAAGAAAAATGTTGTTCAAATCTAAGACCAATGAGACAATGAGGGCTGTTACAAATTAGCAAAAACGAAACCAGATTTTATCCCACATGGTCATTTCTTTTCCTAAATGCTCAAAATTATCATTACTGAAGATTATAACTATCAAATAAGTAGTGACTTTAAAAATCAAGGGAAAAAGTGCCACCCCCTCTGATAATAAAGGCACCAGGGTACAATGAAAAGTGGATTATTTCCTTATTTCTAAAGTAAGGGAAATACTTGTCTCCCATCTTCATGGGGGTGATTGGGAGGGTCAAATAAAAAATAGATATGGAAGTATTTTAAATATTATAAAACGTTAGACAAATGCATAGTAACTAAGGTGTTTGAGAGTGAGATGTAATGTATCCACTAATCAAGAAAAAAAAAACTGCACTATTTCTGATTTGGAGAACGGGAAGATGCGGAGTTGATACGGAGCTAAGACTGGCCTGGCTGAGCAAGGCCGTGGCCAGCTGGTGTCTGGGCAGCCCTGGGTAGAGCTGCAAGCTCCTGCTGACTTGGGAACGCTGGTGTGCCAAAACCCATTACCGACAAATCAGTGTCAACTCATGGCAACCCAAGTGTTACAGAGTAGAGCTGCTCCATAGGGTTTTCTTGGCTATAATCTTTATTTTTTTTAATTGTGCTTTAGATAAAAGTTTACAGAGCAAATTAGTTTCTCATTAAACAATTAATACACATATTATTTTGTGACATTGGTTGCCAATCCCATGACTTGTCAACACTCTCCCCTTCTTGAACTTGGGTTCCGCATTATCAGCTTTCCCGTCCCCTCCTGCCCTCTCACCTTTGTCCCTGGGTTATGTGTCCATTTAGTCTCATTTTATTTTATGGACCTGTCTAATCTTTGACCGAAGGGT